GAAGAAATAGAGTTGTTGTTGCGCTTTCTTGACCGCCATGTTGACGTGGGTGGATCAGGACAGATTGTTGGTGATCATCACTCCCAGAAATTCGATGCTCTTGACCATCACCATCTCAGCACCATTGATACAGAAGGAGCGTGCCCTCCTCTCCACTTCCTGAATTCAATGACCAGTTTCTTCATTTTGTTGACATTGATAGAGATTGTTGTCTATAGAAGAATGGGTTGGTGGGGGCGGGACGGAGTGGATCTCATTGAAACCAACAGAATACTGACAGGTAGAGTGGACGTGGAAAAGATGTTTCCACTAATAGGAGAGAGTAGGACCTGAGCGCACAGCCTTGGAGTGAAGAGGCGACCCTTTAGAACTGAGTTGAGGAGGAATTTGATCTGTGGAACTCACTGAATAACTTGGCCTTCTGCAGTAATGTCTTTAAGACAGAGACAGATAGGCTCTTGATGAGTAAAGGATCAAGGGTTACAGGGAAAGGCAGGAGAAAGGGGTTGAGAAATATCTTAGCCATGATCAAACGATGGAGCAGACTCAAATAGCCTAATTCTGTTCCTTTCCTTACAGTCTAAATATCTACAAATTGAAAGTATGGTTTCTCTTGTTAATATTACTGAGATTTCTTATGAGTGCCACATTCTGTTTTGTTTTAATATTCACAAAAAGGCAGCACTTCAGACGATGCAGCACTCTTTCAGTCCTGCATTTGAGTGTCAGCTTGGATTTTGTACCAATGTCTCTGGATTGCAATTTGATCCCATGATGTTCCACAGATGACAAATACATTGAGGTACAGAGAGAAGCACAAAGGAAAATAATCAATGAACATGCTTAATTATGGCAAGGCACTGGAGGATATTACAACCAACAAACTCCATTGTTATCATTTCATTCTTTACTTCCGAACATGGATTAACCCAGCTTCCTCTCTCAGAATCGTCATCTTCATCACTCACACCTTTGCAGAACCAATCAGCAACATTGTTAAATAAACATCACCCTTACCACAACTTTTTTTATATATAGTCTCCATTATATAGGAATTAAAGAAGACTAAAGGTACCACTCTGGAGGTGATAAGCCAGTTTCTCAAATAGAGCAGCTGGAGTTCTGGCACCTTTCAGAGACTTCCACAGTTTTTACTGCAGCAAGAATGAACAGTACTTGCTGCTGAGCAACCCAAAACCTGGTCTGGCTGGTGGTAGATGGTGTTTGGTAAATTGGTCCTCATTGGTGGAATTGGCGCCCTGAATTTAGGCATTAATCTGGAATATTGTGAGCTTTGTCAGATTTGACAGGTATTTCATCCACTTTGTGGAAACAAAGTATGTTTCTGATATTACTATTGCTCCTCCTGTGTTGGAATTGCTAAGAACCTTTAAATATGTTTCAGGAATGTAATAAATCCTAATTAAAAATGGTTGAGAGAAACACCTGTACAAGTCAAAATAATCGTGCAGCAGTTCAATGTGAACAATAACAGATAATTCATCATTTGTTCAGAACCAATTTTATTGTGAAACAGAATTTTGTCCAGATGGAATTTAGCAGGATGCACGTTGTCTGAAGGAAGTAGCGTTTTAAGCTGGCGAGTATTCTCCCTTTATGTCATAGTTTTGATTGAGCTGATGTCTGAAACTTGATACTGTGTTGAAATGTCTGCAAAGTAAGCAGCTAAGAAACCTGTCTAGCTAGACTCAATCCAATTGGGAGACACACTCACTGCCCTCAGAGACAAATCCTACGTGGCTAGATAGGACTCTTTTGTGACGCCTCTGGAGCAAGAGGCCGGCATTCAAAGTCCCACCCGCTCTAGAAGTGTGCCATAATATCTCTGAATAGCTTGAATAGGTAATGTTGACTTGGCTAGAATGACAGGCCTTAGAGGCTAGTTGGCTAAGATAAAGTTTATGAAGAACCCAGTGTGACCTTGCATCCTGCTGGAAATTAACCAGCTCAAAATGTGCAACTGCCGGTGCAGAGCCCAGCTGGGTTTTGTATTAACCACTAGGTTTGGCTTACCCTACATATTAAACCATCAACCTACTGCATTTATATAGCACTTTTAAACTAACAATTCATCCCAAAGGCTTCACAGAAACATTGTCAGATAAAACTCAGCAACAAATCAAATGGAGCTGGTTGAACACGTGGCCAAAATCCTAGTCAAAGAGGTTGGTTTTAATTAAGGAAACAGAAGTGGAGAGGTTTAGGGAATGAAGTACAGAGCTTAGGGTCCAGGCATGTGAAGGCACGGCCACCGATGGTGGAAATCGGGGATGCTCTAGACATCAGAAGTGGAGAAACACAGAAATTTCGGAGTATTTTAAGCGGCTGGAGGCTATTAAAGATAGGGAGGAATAGACAGATTTGAAAACAAAAAAAGACCCATTTGCACCAACCAGTCCACACCTGACAAAGAACACCAGCTAATGAAGCACTTTAAGTGTAGTCACTGATAACGCAGGAAACAAAATTTTTAAGTCTAGGCACTATCAGACCAGGGCCAGAATAGAGCACAGAGGGTAATAGATGAATGGGACTCCAAAATGGAAAAGATTTGAAGACCCATTGATGGCTGCACTTTCAGGTTTTGTAAATGAGCTAAACTGATCTTGAATAAATAATTTGTGTAATATGGAGAGTGTGGGCAGAAGTTACTGCACACATTTACCTTGAGAGCTTAAAGTTTCAATCAACTAATAAATCAATAGCAGTGCTCTATATCTCCCTGGTTCAGCCAGAACATTAAACTCAGGAATAAAAACAGACACTAGCACTGCTGCCTCACAGCAGGGGTGATACGATGGCTAAGTGGTTAGCACTGCTGCCTCACTGCACCAGGGACCTGGGTTTGATTCCACCCTTGGCTGACTATCTGCGTGGGTCCCCTCTGCATGCTCCGGTTTCTTTCCACAGTCCAAAGACGTGCAGGCTAGGTGGGTTACCCATAGTGTTTAGGGATGTGTGGGTTATAGGGGGATGGGCCTGGGTGGGATGCTCTGAGGGTTGGTGTGGAGTTGTTGGGCTGAAGGGCCTGTTTCCACACTGTAGGGATTCTATTTTTAAAAAAAACTGCTGGAGAAACTCAGCAGGTCTAAAGGCATCTGCAGAGAGAAAGTTAACATTTTGAGTCCAATATGACTCTTCTTCAGAAGTCAGGGATTCAATGGGTTTCTAAGCTTTAATTATTAGGACGACATTTACAGACAGGTCAATATACTTGCCTGCTGCACTACTGGAAGTCAGTACTAAGGCAGTGCTGCATTGTTAAAGGATTAGTACTAGGGGAGTGCTGCACTGTTGCAGGGTCAGTACTGAGGGAGGGCTACAATGTCAGGGTGTCAACAGAGGGAGCATCGCGCTGTCAGAGGGTCAGAACTGGGGGAATGCTGCACTGTTGGAGATTTGACTTGTTGACAGTGATTAAATGTGTTCCTTGGAGTTTCAGAGTAACTACCATCTAGCTTTCAGATGCCCATTCACCGAATCACAGAACTGTTACGGTTCACAATAAGGCCATTCAGCCCATTGTGCTTCCACCTAATTCCAATCTTCTGCCTTTTCTCTACATCCCTGCACATTATTTCTATCTGAATAATCATCCGATGTCCTCTTGAACACCTCAATTGAACCTGCCTCCAACCACACGTCCAGGCTGTGCATTCTATACTCTAATTACTCACTGTGTAAAAATGTTCATACTTGCATCACCATTGTTTCTTTTGCACATCACTTCAAATCTATGCCCCCTCATTCTTGATTCTTTTATGAGTAGGAATAGCTTCTCCCTCTTTACTCCATCCAGTCCACTCATGATTTTGAAAACCTCTTTCAAATAGCTTCTCAACCCTATTCTCTTTAAGGAGATTGAATGCAACCTCTTCAATCTATCCTCATAATAAAGTTTCTCATTCCCAGAACCATTCTTGTAAATGGCATTTGAACTATCTTCAAAGCATTCACATCTTTCCTACAATGCAGCACCCACAACTGTACACAATATTCCAGTTAAGGCTAACAAGTGTCTTGTACAAGTTCAACATCACTCTTTGCTCTTGTACTCTGTACGCCCTATTACCAAAGCTGAGGACATTGTATGCATTATCAACTGCTCTTTCTACATCTATCCTGTTGTCTTCAATGACCCGTGCACATATACACCCAGGCCTCTCTGCTCCTGCACCAATTTCAGAATCATACTCTCTATTTTATATTGTCTTTCAATGTCCTTCCTACCAAAGTGCATCACCTCTCGATTCTGTGAATTAAACCCTATGTGCCTTCTATCTGCCCACTCCAGCAATTTGTCAACGTCTTTCACACTGCCCTCCTCACAGTTTACAATTCTTCCAAGTTATGTGTCATCTGCACACTTTGAAATTGCCTCCTGAACATCACGATCTCAATCATTAATATATATCAGAAAAAGCAAAGGTCCCAATACTGACCCCAAGGGAGCTCCACTAAAACCCTTCTCCAGCCGAAAAATATCCATTGACCATTGCTCTCTGTTTCTTGTCATTCAGCCAATGTTGTATTCACCTTATTATTGTCCTTTTCATACTATGACCCATACCTTTCTTCAGAAATCTATCGTGTGGTACTGTATCAGACTCCTTCTGGAAATCGATGTAAAAACATCAACAGTGTTCCTCTCTTCAGCTTTTCAAAAACCTCCAGCAAGTTTGTTAAACATGATTGCCCCCTCAGAAAGCCATTTTGACTCTTCCTAATCAACCTGTATGTGATTCTTGATTCTATCATGACTAACTGTTTCCCCATCTGTGGAGTTAAATTAATCGGCCTGTATTTGTTGAGATTATCCTTACAGTCTTTCTTGAATAAGGTCATAACATTTTTAATTCTTCAGTCTTCTAAAAGTATCCCCAAGTCCAGAGAAAACTGAAAGATTGTGGTCAGTGCCCCTGCAATTTCTACCCTAATTTTCTTCAAATTCCTTGGCTGTATCTCATCTGGTCCCGTACCTTTTCAACTTTTAAGTGCCAGCAATCCATCCAAGAATTCTTTCTTATTAATCTTGAACCCTTCCAGTGATAGTTTCTCCTCCATCACACAGCCTGGGTAACATCCTCCTGTTTTACAAAGAGAGATACAACATATTCATCTGACACTTCAACAATGCCCCTGCCTCCATGTGTGAAGGCCTTTTATGGTCTCTGATCAGCCTGACTCCTCTTTTAACCACTTACTTGAACCAGGAGACCCAGTTTCAAGTTCCACTTATTCAGAGGTATATACAGTAATACTACTTTTGAGCAGGTTCATGAGAAGATAGTTTTTGTTTTAAAGAGAAGACGTTGCCATTCCTTTTATGTTAGCTGCTAACCTTTCCAACAGTTTCTCTTTGCATTTTATATTTGTTTTTAACCCGCCCAAAAATAGATCAGTATTCCTTTTCATTCTATTGTATTTTCTGCCTTATATTTGTCATAAGCATACTTTTTCTTTCTAAAGTTAATTTTTAGTCTCCTTTGTCATCCAGGGAGCTCTGGAATTGTTTGTGCTACACCTTCCATTAGAGGAAATATACCTTCACTGTACCTGAATTATCTGCACTTTTAAGATGGCCCAACGTTCAGTTACTGTCCTCCCTGCAAACCTCTCATTCCAATCAAACTTGCTTAGATCCTGTTCTTGCTCCTTTAAAGTCAGCTCTCCATGAATTGATTTTGGAAGCAGAGAAACTCATTCCCCAACTTAATCACGCCATATTGTCAAGGAAGCAGCCCTTTTTCTCCAATTTTCAATAATTTTACGTCCGGCAGGGAAATACGTCAAATAAAATCAGAAAACACGATCATTTCTGCCGCTCAGTGATCCCTTCCGCTCTGTACAACGGTCCCCATAGCAACCGCTCCAGTCCTCAGGCGGGAGATGGGCCTTCACCCGGAACTATTCTATGGGATAGTTTCCAGGGGACCGGAAGTGCAGCAGGTCTGGGGAAGGATTTGAGGTTGCAGCCGGAAGTGTGTTCCCATGAGAAGGTGAGAGTTGGTTTTAGTGCGGGGTCCGGTTTGGACTTTCCGAGAATCCGCAAAAATAATGTGATCCCGTCCGCGGTGTTCAGCAACTACAGTCCCCGGAGAAGCACTTGGTGCACAAACCCCCCCCCAGCTCCTCCGACAGTGCGGCGCTCCCTCAGCGCTGACCCTCCGACAGCGCGGCGCTCCCTCA